CGTCTAAAGACCTTAAGCCTTCGGCGAAGGGGGCTTAAGCCCCCCCCCTTAAGCCCCCCTTAAGGGGGGGCTTCGCCGAAGACGAAGGCCCCCTTCGCCGAAGGTCCCGGGCCCATACTGGTGAATCGTTGCTGTCCATCCCTGCTGTATATTGCGAGGCATGCCGTTGCAGGCTGCACGCATCTTCGAACTATCTTAAGCAAGGAAAAGCAGAATATGGCGGGGGACATATGCCCAATCTAATGCTTTTGACAAATGCGAGCACCTCGACCAGCCCAAGTGGCTTCGAGTCTTGGAGACTGATGCAAACGATCTTTGGCGAGAAGACTTTCTAGATCCTGCACCAAAGGCCAGCAATGCTTTCGAGGCAGGAAAGAAGCAAGTGCGACGTGGGCAGTGAGCAGAGCCAAGTGTCAGCCTTCGAGCACTCGGAAAAGGTGGCCTCCAGGCACATACGGCAAGCAAAATGCACAAACACCAAGTAGAACCATGACCTCTTTTCGCCATTTGCTGCGCAGTGAGCCGATAGGAGCGAGAGCCTTAGTTCTACGTTCCTGACCGGCGGGTGGTAGATAGTGGCAATGAAGAATGACCAGGGGAAACCTTAGTTCCCGCTGTTGATGTCCGACATTTCCAATTTTGTACAAAGAGGTACAGATATCATGCTGGGAGAGTTCAAAGTTTCACCTGTTTCACACGGGCCTTGCAGCAGACCACTTTTTGCAATTACACAGCGCCTCACTGAATCATGCAAGACCCCCTTGTGGCACCTGTGCGTGCCGAAGGGTGCTGGGTTTGCCTTCCTTCGGGGAGGGTGTGCCTCCTTCACCCTCAGCTGCAGGCTTTCCTCGCTAGCGATTGCCGCCACTGTTTGACTATTGTCGGGCAACATGCGACTGGCCTTGTATGCGCCACCAGTTGAATGGTTGTGCTACAAGAAAGGTCTTTTCCACTGATTGCTGCTTAGAGACTGTCACTCCTGATCGACATGACTGCTACCGGCGCTTGAGCATCGCGAGACAGCCGACCTGCAATGTGACTTTGTTCTGCCGCACTGTGGTGTGGCTGCTGGTCACCAATATTCGGGAAGGACAGTCCGTTTGAAGCCTCTAGAAGACTTTCCCTGACCACAGACCTGCGCTGTCGTCCTTGTCTTTCGAGAATTCAGGCCCTTAATTGCCATTAGTTTCTGTTTCACACGTTTCACCCAGTGTAGAGGAAAGACTACTGGATGGTGGAGATTCGGCCTGCGGGCTTGGGGTGTTTGTTGGTGTTGGTTTCGTTTGGGGTCTTTGTTCTTTTCTCCACCATCTGACTGTTCTTCCCTTCCTTCAACGATGACCTGGGCACCATGCCCACACGGCGTCCGTACTCGTGGAAAAAAAAATGCGGACAGTCGCGCGCGCGGCACGCCAAATCGCACTCTCGCCTGCATTTCGCGAGTCCTGGCAAAGCCAGCAGATTGTCAAGTGGCGCTCTCAGTGGTCTGTCTCCAAGAAGGGGCCTCCAAGTTCCAGTCATCAGGCTGGCCGCTTGCGTCTCATTGAGATCGTCCAATTATTGCCGTCTCATACTGGCCTCTGAGGTGCGTCGACAGGAAGTTGCTGCGCTTTTGCACTTGTGTCTTCTTTCCTTCAATGATGACCTGGGCACACCGCCCACATGGCGTCCGTGCTCGTGGAAAAAAATTGCCGTTGGGGTTCCACTTACACTGGATACGTATGGAAGATGTTCAAGTGTCAGTGTGGAAGCGTAGGTGTTCCAGTGTACGTGTCGGAGTGTTTAATGTGGAAGTGTCGTGTGTGAGTGGAAGTGTCAGTGTTCAAGAGATTTTCCAGAAGAACTCTCGCAATGCTGCCGACTGAGATCAATCTCAGGGACTCTTCACGTCTTTGCAACCATCCACTTTTGACGAACAGAACAAACCAGAGTTTCTTTGACCTTGAAGACTTTCGTGACTGAGCTCGTGGGTTCACGCGGTTTGGATTAGGGATTGCTGTGCAGGTGGCTCATTTCATAAGTTGATCCTGTGGCAATTCTTGTTCAAGAAGGAAGGGTGAGGTGGGCACCTCTTTGACGCGCGCGAATGTCCAAAGTGCACCCACCCACACCATGAATGACATTTTGGCACCTTCAGAAGCTTGCTGATTCAGGCCAACTCTGAGCCTTGTGTGAGCCGCATTCACTTCCGTCCGCAGACGATTCTTGAGACACCAAACGCTGAAGTGAAAATCAAATGGAAATCGCCAGTGTCGTGGACTTTGAGTTTCTCCTGCGCCTGGAAAAGGACCCCCATGTCGAGAAATGTTCTTGACAGTTAAGAAAAAAAGGGCAAAACATATTCTTGGTTTCCACAAACGCAAACCACACAGCCGCTTCGCATCGACAGAATATAACGGTAGAGTGCTGTTGTGTTTCCATTGTGGTGGTGGTGGTGGTCGTTTTTCAGGCGCAGAAGGTTCTGATTGAGCGCGCGAGGAAGAGGGGACTGGATTGCGAAGTATTCGGTGGTGTCTTTGGGTTTGGTTCATGTTGAACAACAATTTTGTTGGATACTGTTATGGTGCTAAGATTTTCACGAAAGGTAGCCCTTTAGGGGATACCTTGAGTTTGTCTTGCGAAGCAAGTGTTGGGACGTCCGGGTCTAATAATTGATCGCTCAATTCAGACCCCCCCCCACCCCCCCCCCGCCCGATTTTATTTTTCAATACAGCCCCCCCCCCCCGCCCCCTTGGAATTGATTTTTCAATACAGACACCCCCTCCCCCCCCTCCCCCCCTCTAAAATCAATTCTCTCCTGGAGATCGTCTTCGTGAGCCTCTCATGATTTCAGGATAGTTGAAACCCTCTTGAACATTCAGAAAGAGTGAATATGAAATTCTAATCACGAAAGGTGTTCTGTGAAGCGCGTCAATTCTCTCCTGGGGAGCGTCTTCGTGAGCCTCTTATGGTTTCAGGATAGTTCAAATCCTATGATGTTCCGATTCAATGCTCACCGATGATCTGAGCCATGGGGCAAGTTTGTTTTCCTATGTTTTCCTAAGAATCTTTTTGAACACTTCGAGAGCATATGTTTGAACATTTAGAGTGCATGAACATATATTTACGAAAGGTCGCCTCCGAGGGGATAAATCACCATGTCGAACATTGCATTTTTGTTCCTGCCTCTCGCGTTCTCTTCTCTTCCCGCTGTCCTACCTTTCGTGTCTCCCTCCTCTCAAGTTGACATTTGCGGGCTGAAAACGATCACATTGGCGTTCATGTTTTTTTCACTTAGTCGCTGTTCTCATACATTCATACAATTGTTCCATGGTCAAACTGAGGCTATGCTGCAATGATGTTGTGATGTGAGATGCGATTGTAAGCCTTCAGCAAGACGGCGGACCCACATGCATGAACCACCAAACAAACTACAAACCTTAGACTCGACAGAAAACAATTAGTACCCTGTGTATTGGCACGCCAGCAATGAACCTTCTTCCAACGTTTCTGTTTGATGATCTCCCATTTGCAAAGAGCTTGCTGATCGTAGTTTGTGCACCAACATCACACTAACCACGCACGGTAGTGATTGTTGATGGTTGTTGCATTGTTTCTGTGAAGTCGTGAGGAGTGTGCAATGCAGTTCAACGGGCGGCAAGTTTTGGATGTTACCAGGGTGCCACGTTTGAGTCCGCTGCCGCTGTTATGTATAGATGTCAGTGGCTGCCAAGGCTACAAGAATAGGTTTTCGAACATTCAGAATTCAGTGGCAGCAATGTTTAGCAAAGAGTCGCACTTGAAAAGCAGGCGGAACATGAGCTGTTCATGCTTTCCAGATTCCAAGCCAAGTCACAAGCACCTTGGGCGGCCGTGCTTCGGAAGCCACAACTGAACATTAGAGGAATGTATTGGCTGCCATGGCAGTGGCTGCTGGCTGAGGTTACTTGAGGGGTGTGAAGGTGGAGGGGCTATCAAATCTAGAGCATCTTGCCTGTTTTTCCTCAATCAGATTAATATACTGTGTGTATATTCTGGGGTGGTCTTGCTTCTCATCTCCGCATCTAGATTGCGTGGAGTATGGTCTGGGTCGAAACCCTCACACGCTCTTTTACTTTATGAACGCTTTTGCATCAGATTGGTGATACCACATGTACCCACCAACAAAAAGGGGCGACGTGTGACTTTCTCACATTGGTTTGAACTTCTGAGGGGTGTTGGCAATGGGAACCACGGTGAAATCAATGCGTTCGAGAGGGAGTACGAGTTTGGTCTTTTAGATGTCCCGACATGTCGCTGATGCCACGTTTTTGAAAGACGGAAATTAATCCACGTCCCAGCCTCTGCCAAAGATCAGGCATGGACCCCGCTATTATGATATCCTTTTTGCGCCAACTAGGTGTCTTCAGCGAGCTTCCACAAGAGCTTCTTCGTGCACAGAGCATCTCATGCGAAGAAAGTGGCCGTCGACCCAGAGATCTTTAATTCCAGTCTTTGAGTGGTGCCCAGCAACAGGGCCTTAAAGGGCAACTTTCCACTTGTACACCTCTTGCCGGCCAAAAATGGATGCTGGTGGCTTGAGTGACAGCATTTGGAGGATCTTTGGGGTTATTCTTGATGTCTGGTATTGATCGGCTGAAAACATGCATGCACTCAAGCAGTGGCTTGAACCTCCACCCATCCCGAGACGATTTCACCTTGGGAAGGCCTGAGAACCAGCTCAGAGGCAAGGCTTCTAGAGAGTATCTGTTGGGCTGAGTGAAAATCAATTCTTGTTCAATTGGAAGGAAACGATGACTTCAGAGCAATGGAAACTGCATCTTTAGATGGTATTGGACGGAACGAAACGAATGTGCATGGAGCTTTAGCTGATTCTGAGACATCTCCATGTGATTTGTAAACTATGGCCATTCTTATCAGCCACGTCTTGGTGCCATTTGATTCCTGCTTGGCCATGGGAGAAGGGAAACATTTTGTTTTCTCCACGTACCTTGGCTGCCTTCAAATTGCTTGTTGTGTTTGCTAGACTGGCAAAATATGCATCATCGCACATTCAAATGCATTCTGCATGCGCAAATGCATCTGGCATCATATGGCGTACAAGCGCAACTGCACCTAATAGATATTAAAACTCCCAACACACACTTATAGAAATGCGTACTGACTTGACAGCGGTGCCACACGCCGGCCTAAGTGAAAAACGTAAGGAACCAGGACAGGTGTCAGTAAGTGGAGGCCCTTGCTGCAAGGTCGGAGGCCAGCAAGACTCAAAACACGAAATGCGAGTAGCGATTAGTAACAGAACCGCATGAACCACCATGAAAGCAAACCACAGCGAGAACAACAGGTAACCCGTTTGGCAGGTACGTTTACACGGGGGGTCTTCGTTGGCCACTGCTCCTCTGGGACCACGGTGGCCCCCTGCTGTCACGGAAAAGGAAAAGAAACCATTCCGACTGGAACCTCGTGAATCCAGAGACGCCTCCCCGAGGGGAGGCATTCCTTTTCAACTAAGCTCCGGACGATGGTGGGGTTTTCCCAAGCAGTGCCGGTGCCGGCACAGATGTGGGGTCAGGTTGTTCACATGTGGTGCCGGTTCGCCGAGTGGCACGCCAAAGGTGTCCATGTAGGAGACCACGTCCATCCAGAGGGTGGCGGTGTGTTTGGTCCAAGGTCAGAGACGAAAGCATAGAGCTCCGAGAGGAGGCAGTCCAAGGTGTGTAGAGGTAGAGGAACCGGAAACAGGGGG